TTAGGGTTAGGGTTAGAAATTAGAGAATTATTTTTTTTTATATAAAATAATATAGAGCTACTATAAGGGCCCGATAGGGTCCGATCTTAGTTTTTGTGAGGTTTTTGGAGGTCCTGAACATTTTTACTTAGAGAACCCGATCCTGTTTACTTAGTACATTTTTGAGATACAGGCACTCTGGTGATGATCACCACCGGTTATAGTTAGATTAATTCTAATTATTATTATTATTTATGTATTAAATATAAGATTATTTTTATTTAGATCTTCAAATAGACCAGTGGTATAATGATATACAATTGGGTGAAAAAGTTTGTCAAACACTTCTAAAAACTATTTGCATTACTGTCGGCATTAATGTAAAAGATTGTGATATTGTCAACCATTCTGGTAGATCTACACCTATTACGTTCTTATTTCAGAAAGGAGTTCCTACAGTTACAACTATGGCATTAACTGGGCATAAAAGCGAATCATCATATCGCATTTATGCCTGCCCATCTGAAAAACAAAAAGGAAATGCACTTTCACTACTAATTAACAATGTTGGAAAGTTACTATCTTCAAGCAATTTAAATAGCTTAAAAACTTCAAATAACTTAGAAGTTTCAAATGAATTAGAAGCCTTGAGTGAATTTGAAGCCTCAGATGAATTAGAAGCATCAAACGATGTAGAAGTATTAAGCAAATTAAAATCTTCACGAATATTAAAAGTATATACTTTATTTATTTATTTTATTACTATTGTTATTTTAATAGTCATTTATTCATTAATTTATTTCTTTAGAACTCAAAGGCAAAACGAAGTTCAAGTTGTCCTGTCTACTCTACATCATCAATAATCACATCTTCCAAGTCTTCCATATTTAGACCATTTCGTATACCTCTTCAAGATTCATCCAAAATAAACTTACCATTGCACTCAAATGCGTCTAAAAAAAATCCTACACTTGGTGGTTGAAAAGTTCTTCGTAAAACTTCCAAGATGAATAATTCTGAAGAGCAAGAAATAGCTGATAAAACTATAATTATCAAAAATTACTATATTATAGCCAAAAATGTTACTATCAATTAGAAATTTGTACTCAAATTGATGTAAATTCGATGATTTTTATTATTGAATTAATTGTGCAACTATACAATTTAAAGGCTTTTGGAACTAATACAGCAATTTAAATTTGTTTCAAAAAAAAATAATAATAAACTGTAAACTATGTAATTGAACTCAGATTTAATAAAAATAACTACCAAATAATCTGAATTATTTGGTGAACCCGATCATAGTAGAATGCTGGATAATAATATTTAATAAAGTATTAATTGATTTAGTATTTTGTTTTCTTTGATTCTTCAAAAATGTAAAACGATCGTTGCAATCTTCTAAAAACATAAAATCCAATAATACAATAATCTAAAAATACACATTGTTCACCGTAACCAAATTTCCACTAATGATAAATGAAAAAAGAAATAAAATTATAAAAACTAATCAGGCAAATGCAATTATACAAGAAAATCTTATAAATGTTATTTTTAATACTTTTCCATAAGACTATATCTCTTTGAGCAAAAAGTTTTATAATTCTGAATTCAGAACGCAACAAAAAAATTATTGAAGAAAACATAATTAATCCAAATAGTAACAAATAGATCAATAATAAAACTTTTTAGCTATTGCATAAATTGGAAGAGGATTATAATCATTTTAAAAGGCAATGAAATATTCCAAATACTTAGAAAAATTGTAATAATAATACTTTCTAACTATAACAAATATTATGTTTATTGAGTTTGTTTGAAATAATAAAATAATAATTTATTGCTTATTGTTATTATTTTTAGTCTATAAATTTTTGTTTGTTCAAGTTAAATGCTCGATGTATTTGTCACATGATGAGTGAAACTTTTTTGGGTAGCAATTTTACCTCGGTCTATACTTATGTGCTAACAAAGACAAATTTTTTAAACGGTAGATTTTTTTAATGTGGCCTGAATTACAGGGACAATGATATCAGTAATATTATATTTTAATAAGTTTTTTTTCACAGTTCAAAAATTGATGAATTTTCTAAAGTTGGGTTTTTTTGAATTTCTTCTTTATTAGATAAAAAATAATGTGTATGATAAACAATTTTCAAATTCCATAAGATATAATTTTCGCAAAACTTACATGTCAAGAATTCTTGTTATAATTCCTTGTATAACTTCCTTTATGCACATGTTGTGTGAAATATTCAAAAGTGAATCCTTATATCACTTACTAAATCTATCAAAATAATTTTCCCAAGATTCTCTTAGTTATTCAAGTAAATAGTTGCCCTTGTAGTAAAAGCATGGGCCTATAATTCTTTGGAGAGGATAGAAGCCAGTTTCATGGAAAAGTTTATTCCTTTACAAAAGAAGAGATTAGTACCTTCATTTTGTTAGTGGGTGCCTAAAGATACATTTCAACTCTATCAAATTAATGTCCAAAATTAACGTAAACTTTTATTTTCAACTTACTATGAAGGATTCATAATCTGACAAGTTTTTAATTATGGCAGCATCATTTCAAAAACACAGCTTGCCAGTGGCATCTCCTATGAAGATTCATTGCTTTTATTATTTCTAATATTATCGCATTTCAGAAGCATAAGAAGACCTGCTTTTTCTGAAAAAAAGATAAACATTAAATTTAAATTTTAGCTCATTGCTCTGTTATTTAAAAAAAATTACATGGTTATTTGTATATTTACTGAAAAAACCGTGTCTGCAAAGTTTGCAAGTTTTCTTTTATCTTTTCTTTGGTCCTGTTGAAAAATATGTTACTACATATAATATCATAGTAAACATTATCACAAAAAACACAATTACCTTTTTTATATTGAGTATTGTCTTAAATAGCTTAATTATTTACATTGAACAATCAAAATTATAAAGTTAAAAATAGAATTAAAACCAAATTATGAAAAACTCTAGTGGTATTTAAAAATGTGAATACATATAGTGGCATTTGTAATTTTTCTACAATCATTTTTCTTAACTCTTAAATTAGGCCACTGTGCTGAATTAAAGAAACTTACTGTGATCACTTTCAATTTTTGTATACAGAAACTGGATCTTTCAATTTTAGGATTTTTAGGGGAACGTTCAAGAGAACATTCAGAGGAACACTTAGGAGAACATTTGTGAGAACATTCGGGTAAAATGTTCAGTGTATTGTTCAATAGGATTTAGATTAAGAAACTGATATTGTAATTAAGTTCATTGGGTTTACAAAGTCTTTTTACAGAAGATTCACTATTGTAATTAATTTTTTTGCTTTTACAGAGTCTTCTTTTTATAGAATGTTCATTAACATAATATAAAATAATGATAGCTGATAGATAGCTCACAAAGGGGGAAGAATAAACCAATTTATTAATATACTATTGTTTTTTTATATAAAATTTTGAAATTTTAAAAAGAGTGGAGGTCATGTTAAAGAATTAATTTATCATAATTTTTATATGATGCATGTTAGTAAGCCAACACTACTTATATCCAATCAAATTTCAAGATCAGAAATTTTGGCATATATGGTCATATATAACTGCCGGATAATATCAGTATTGGAAATACAACAATTTCATCATCTAAAGTCAGGTAGTTTTTTAGTAAATTGAAAATCACATAACATATATAAATTACTACCTGGCTTTAGAGGAAATTTTTTCATTGCCTGCCCAATATTGTATACTACTACTGTATACCTAGTGATGTGCCGCGTACAGTACTATACGTACAGTACAGTACGTACTGTACGTACTGTACGCTAAAATTTTTGCCGATCACTTTTTCCAGCCAATCAGATGCCAGAAAAGAACTATACGTACAGTACATACTGTACGTACTGTACGCTAAAATTTTTCAGGTATCATATAAATGGCACATCACTATGTATACCTATTCTAACCTAGTAATATACTAACCCTAATAATCTTAATTATTTTAAATATTTTTTGCTTATTAATTCAATTGTTTGATTTTTTAAGTTACATGTTCTCAAAATTTCCTTGAATATAACAGTACGTATATGTGTATATGTTGTAATTGAACCTGGAATTTTGTAAATTCAAAATCTTAAGTGGATTTGTTAACTTAAATACATTTTGCAAAAGTTCCTAACTCAAAAATGTCAACCCAAGAATAATATTTCTTCATTGAAAATAAAATTTTAATGTTTAAGAAGCATTTGATAGACGTTAAATCTCAATCACGTTAAGCAACTATAAACTTATTTAGGGCTGTTAATGGTTATCCAAAGTGGTGCCTGTCAGAGTAATCATCAAAACCAAACCACACCAGAGCTACTACACTACTTCTCCATAATTTTATTGAATTATATTATTCCAGATTAAATTTTATATTGTATTTTAAAATGTCTTGTTAATTATAGTTTAGAATTTAATATCTAGAACAACTTATTTGTTATAATGATGATTGTTTTAATAAATTCTTTAATATACAACAATTGACAAAATTATTTATATTTTTAATCTAAAGTAGTATTAGTAGTAGCTCTGGAGTGTAACCCACTCTATTTGACTCCTATAGCAATCTGGAGTGGTGTAGCATACAAATCACACTGACATAAAGTGATTTATACTTCTAAATTACTCTGGAGTATAGTACTCATTAACAGCTCTAGGTTTATTATTGAAATTTTCTAACGAAAATATCTGTTTACCTTGCAAAGTAATCGGAAATTACCAAACAAAGCATTCCTAAATGACTTACAATATGAATGAAATTAAACCACTGGAATCAACTAAATATAAAGCACTTGAAGTTTATCAAATTAAAATTATTAGTGTACGAAAAGCTGCAAGATGTGTATGCCATATACTAGTCTTTATTTTAAAATTCTTTGATTTAGTTAATATTTGCAATGTTTTCAAACTTTTGCATATTTTTATTATCAAACTTAATTAAAATTTATTTCATTTGCCTATTTTTAAAAATTTCATTCCCACCTATGTTGTTTTAAGATTCAAAATCCACTCATCTAGTTCAAAATGGATTCTAAATCCACAGAATTCATTCATGTGACTATATTAATTTATTGTATTAATTCGTAAGAGATTTCTGGATAAGCAAGAATATTTGAGTTAAAAATATTTCAATCAAAAGATTAAGTTTAATATATACATATATAATTTATTATTTAAATTGTAAAAATTCAGAGCGTTCCCAAACATCTTCTTAAGTGTGATTTTCTAGCAATAGTGCACAAGTATATGACGTAATTTTAGCTATTCTCATAATATATAGATATTGGATAAATACTATTTATACCAATAGTTTTATAAAATTTTAATAAGCTAGTGCGAAAAAAATGGGTTGGGGCAGAGTGTCCAGCTATTTCTAGCATCTAAAATAGCACTAGTGATATTATAACAACCACATAATCAAATTCAACTAGAATTGTTTACTTTAATTCTAAATGTAATAGAATAAAAATAAGACAAATTTTATCAAATTTAGATTGGTTGTTTTCGTGATATCGCTAGTGCTATTTTAGATGCTAGAAATAGCTGGACACTCTAGATTGGGGCAAAAGTTTGTTGACCAAAATAATAAATACTAATGCTAAACATTTTTCACTATTTGAATTTTTCTTATAAACTACATCTCGTATCTCTTAATGGCAAACCATTTGATCAGTTAAAATACTTTCCGCTAAACTATTAAACGATAAATATTCATTAAATTGATACAATAGTCTGAATTATTTAAATATCAAGCCTACACAAAACTTGAATTAACTTGAATAACTGAAATTTAAACAGTTAACTTTTTTGTCATTATACTAAATTGAATTTTAATTGAGGGATTCGTCTAATACAGTAATAGAAAACTTGTAAAAACTAAGTTGATGAATTCAACATATTTATTTTTTCACATGTACTTTTTGCTATTTACTTCTTTTGAGTTTAAAAATCTGTATAGTGTAAGTATTTTACTTTTACTACTTTATTTATTTCACTTATTCATCTTTTACTACTTTATTTATTTCACTTATTCATCTTTCACTACTAATACCTTTTTACGTCTTTACTTGACTTACTACTTCACAACAACACCATTTCTGGCATTCATGGGATTTAGTTCAGGCAAAGTTAATTTTTTGTAAATTTTGTGAGACGCAGTATTTAAGCTGACCAATCAGAATTAAGCATACTTAATACTGATATTTTAGAAAGGCATTAACAAAAGAATGCCATACTGATATGTTCTAATAAACTTGAATTGGAAGATGAAAAGGCCTTAGCAAGTATATCTTGCAAGAGAAGAAAAAAGCATTAATAGATGCGCTTACAAGAACACTTTCCTGGCTTCTTTAAGTCTTATACTGTAATATGAACACAGATTAGAAGAATGAAATGTATTAATCATTGCACTTTGTAGAAACAATCCCTAAAAGAATTGAATCTTTGAGATATGATCTAATCCAGTTAAAACTAACTACCTGGATATTTATTAATCTAACTTTTTTTAATATCCAGATATTGGTTAAAAAGTTGAA